TTAGCCTTGTTTCGAGCAAACACACATTGTTTACTTGGCTTAAGATTCCTACTTATCATTACTCCTAAATCTTTCTTACTGTCGGATTTCTCAATAACATCATTGTTCAACTGATTTCCCTGTTTACATCTATAATGAGACAAACTCACAAGAAGAAGATTACATATAGGTAGAATATTGATAGTAAGAGAAATGTAGAGAGGAAGATTCTGATAGCGTGTCCGTGTTAGTAGTTAATTTACTGTGCCAATACACTTATCTTATGTCAATACACATCTATTACGTTCTTAAGGACGACTTCTCAAACATCGCTTCGTTACAACTGTTTATTAATTACGACAATGACATGGACACATTAATAACACCTTCTACCGAAGTTACTAGGACATTATATTTACGTTACTAGGACATCATATTACAGTACGTTACTAGACACTGATTCTCGGACATGAACATGAAATGAATACACTTCCCACGTAAGTAACTCATCCCATGGAAAGCTCCGACAAAAGCTCCCTCAAGGCATGTGGCTAGGTGACGCATTACTCCCCATGTACCGCTTTGCCTTGCCTCTGCCACACAAATTGGTTCTCGTACGTTAATACTACAAACCAGTTGTAGCTATGTCAGATTCTTAAATTAATTGATCGTATCGGCAGGTGTTCATAAGTCGGACATTCGTAAGTCGGGGACCCCCTGTACTAATTCTTTAAAGTTCTTTGTAAGTCTCGCTGCTTATCTTTCTTCGTCCATCTATTTGCTTTAACATTTCATTTGTTTCACCCCCCTTAGCCTCATTCTTCCTATGTCTCATTAAGTTCCCCCTTTAATATAATTTTTTTAAATTATTCCACTTTTCTGTGTTTTTTTTTGTGATTAACCGATTTTTAAGCAACCCCAAATATTATGAACCTTTTTGCAGATTTTTGCTGAAGTTTGTGTTTTACTTTATTCTTGCCTTAATTTCAGTTCTAATAAACTAAGTCTTAACAATTTTTGCAACCATTTTATATTGCTATGCTGTACTATGCTGTATAATAACAGTGGCAGAGGTGGTAGTTACTCTGGTGGGTTTGGTTATTGTGTTGAAGAGAGGTAGCAAGAAGGTTTATTACTGGTTTTCATCTCTGATTTTAGTAGATCAAGGTTGAAATCTTCTTTAACGTAGAAAAGTTTCCTTTCTTAATGTATGGAGATTAGTTTCAATAATTTGTTAAGCTCCTTACGTTGGGTGTGGGGGCCTTCTGTATACTCGTCCTACGAGAATATTTTGTCGTTACGTATTTCATGTAAAACACGCTCCATGAACTCCTGAACTTTTTACAGTACAGTCGGCCCTTAACATACGCGGGGGTTGGATAACAGAGATACCCGTGAATGTTAAAAGTCCGTGTACTTTTGCTGCCCCCACCCCCCAAAAAAAAACCCTGGCCCCCCCATGTCCTTATTTACCGTATATACCTGTGTATAGTTCGAGTTTTTAAGACCAAATTATTTGGCAAAAAATTGGGGGTCGACCTCTAAACGGGTAATAGTTTCGATAGGTTGAAAAATATTTACCAGTAAACAATGGAAACGACGCACCAACGCACCACCAGCTGTGAGTGTCGGCACAGTTGCCAGGGCAGATCTCTTGCGTCATCATAGCAAGCCCAAAGTAGCCAAATCCATGGTATGGTAGCACAGGACGATGTAAAACAAAGTATTCATTATTTAAAGTTTATTTATAGATACTGTACATAAATTTTTGTTCCATTACAGTTGAAACATCAATCTTTGTTAATTAAATTTGAAACAAAAGAAAACTACGATACCGTATTTCTAAATATCTTGTACTGGGTATTTTCATTAAAATATTACATCACAAGTATATTTTACCTAACTGTGACATTTCCATATTCTCAGAAATAAATAGTAGTTTTGCTGAAACGTAATGCATTTCAATGTAAATTAGGATAAAGTACATGAAAACAAAAGACTTTACCTAACCTTCCGATGTTCAAGATATGTTACTCGTTTTTTTAATAGTTTTCGGTAAAAATACTGTTATATTAGTGATATTCTATTCATACTGTGCTTGATATAATACATTCACGGAAATGTAATATTTTTGCTGAAATGACGTACGTATTACAGTGGAAAGTGGGATAAAATCGTGACGAAAGCAATGACTTTCGCTTTCTTTCGTTCAGAAGATGTTACCGTAATCGCTTTTTGAATGGTTTTCAGTTAAACTATTGTATTACAATAATATTCCCTCCTAATTGACTTGAATAAATACTTGAATGGAAATATACAATATTTTTGTTGAAACTACCCGCGTTTCAGTGTAAAGTGTCGTAATAATAAATGGTAAACAATTTGCCTTTGGCACTCAGTGTTTCAGGCACGGCGAGCCTCAGTTTATAGGACGTAGAGCGTTTTTACTGAAGGTTTTGTTGTTCCAATACCCTCAAAAACTTGGGTCGACCTGTAAACAAGGAATATCATAAAATAATGATTTTTTGGTCAAAAAATCAGGGTCGACCTACAATGCTGATGTCAACACAAGCGTGGTTACAGCGAGACTGACTGAGTGAGGGAGTGCGGGGTGGCATGTGTGTGTGTGGGGTGGCGGGCGGTGTGCGATGCCGCGCGCGATTTGAATGTACTTCAATTACTTCAATGTACAGAATATTCCTCCGGCGGGGCAATCCGCGTATTTGCGAATCCGTGTATGCTAAGCCCGCGTATGTGAGGGGCCGACTGTACTTTATCTCCTTTGAGCTGAATAAAATTGTTTGGTGTTAGTTAAATAAAATACTGTACTAAAAATGGCATTCCTGTAGTGAAGGGTTTAATCATCTCATAAAATGCTGTTAAACTTCGTACAATATTAACATATAGTGACACCACATATTGATGCAATGTTTTGTACAACCAGGGATGTTATACAAGTGTTAAATATCATTAGCGAGTTTGGTCTTGCAGAACCCAAGTATCTGCGTATACACTGTGTGAAACAATATGATACCACGGACGATAGGTGTTGGGATATGCTTGTTGTCTCCTTATACAGGTTGACTATAAAAAATCCGGCAACCTCGGGACCTGAGGAGTGCCGGATTTTCGAAAATGCCGGAAAACTGATGGTTATATTTGCTGTACAAGTTTAACAGAAAATGACTACCTGTACAGTCCTTTAAAAAAAGAAAATTAAACACTAAATGAAAAGCAAATGAAATTTTATTATATATGCTGTATACAGTATATTTAACACGAAGATTAAACCAGGTTATGAGAACTTGGTCTAGTTCCGCATTTTTTCCCTCCGACATTGACTTCCTTACAAACATTTTCCTTTTTGATCCACTGTCAGAAAAGAACTTTTAATAGTTTTTCTTTCTGTTTTTAATATCATACACTGTTGAAGAGCCGATGCTGTATGTTTCACAAATGGTTCGCACAGACACGCCGCTATCAAGTTTTTTAAGCACTTCCACTTTCTCTGTGAACGACAACACACGATGTTTACGTTTTACGCCACTGCTTTTCTTTGCTGAATCCATGATGGGGCTATACAGCAGCAATTAAATGATAAAATCAGAAGGAATGAGCACGAATGCTTGTTAACAGGTGCAAGCAAGACCCAACAGCTGATTCTGGAGTACAGTTCTATCAAAACATAAATGGCGTGTCCAGAAAACAATGGTGCGCCAAGGCAGGAAATTTGAAAATGCGCTCCGAAATCCATGCCGGAAAACTGAAGGTTCCGGTTTATCGATTGGCGGATTTTTGATGGTCAACCTGTACTATGTGATAGTAATCACTTTATTGCATATTTTATTCCTATATGCCAACCCCCCCCCCCCCTCCATCTCGTGTTGGATACTGAATGGCGGTGGATGAAGACATGCATACCAACCCTCCCAAGAAATCACGAGTTGTACGTACAATTTCGGAAGTCGTCGGACCCAGCCTGTCGGATGCATTTTTTTAGCTACTGTACATCAAATTTGTTGTCAGTAGAAGTTATACAGTACACACATCTATAAAGATTTCTAAGTGAAGAGGTTTAATTATCTTTCTTTTTCTTTCATTTCTTTTTCTTTTTCTTTCATTTCCTTCTTTTTCTTTTTTTTCATTTCTCTCTCTCTTATGAGGGACCATGGTGGTGTAACGATAACTTCTAGTAACAGTGATGGGGGAACAAATTATCTCTACCGTTACCAACTGTGTAACTGTTCGTGACTGGTACTTATTATATAACAGCTACTTGTGACACTGTCTTGTATGTAACAACCTTCCTGGGTTGTCACCACTTGTAACAATCACTTGTGAAGCATATTGCCTTATATTCTAGATGTACTAAAATATAGATCAAAGTTTATTGGAACTTCTGTAGTGAATTGCAATATGTTCCTTTTGCTTGTTTATTATAAAAAGAGTTCTATGTACACTTTCAAAAAGGATTATCACTGTAACTTAATCACTGTAGCTATGAGTGTTAAATGAGTACAGGGCTATGTTATAGTAGCTCTTCTAAAATACGTCCAATTGGTGTGAGACTGGGAGTGATCTTGAGTAGGGACCCTCGAGGGAGACCGGAAATGTATCCAACTTCCTCCCTCGAGGAAAGACGGAACCATCAACAATGGCTCTAAATAACTTCTTCCTCTCGTCAGGGTTATCAAACTACTGTGCATAATAGGTGACCAGGGAGCCGGTTACTTAATCCTTAGCTCAGCACCCAGTGACACGACTTCCCATGGGCACACCTTATCACGTGCTCTGAACATGAACCTCACAGCTAGTGGAAAGTTACAGGGTTGATAGTTATACAAGTCTAATGTAATTAACCCACTTTTATATAAATACTTCTGCCTATAAGACAGGGGCTAATGCATCGGTGTTAAGGGGACCGTGGTGGTGTTAGGGGGGCCATGGTGATGTTAGGGGACCATGGTGGTGTTAGGAGCCATGGTGGAATTAATGCATCTAGTGTTATTGTTGTCCATCAGAGCAAAGATGACCCTGGACTTCTACTACATGGCTCCCTCAGCTCCCTGTCGCTCGGTGATGCTGACGGCCAAGGCTGTAGGGGTGGAGCTGAACCTTAAGGAGCTGGATCTGATGGCTGGGGAGCAGATGAAACCAGAGTTCATTGCCATCAACCCCCAACACTGTGTCCCCACTTTGGTCGATGATGACTTTGCTTTGTGGGAGAGGTGAGTTTATTTCCACGCATACTTGTTTATATCCTCAACTTATATACACAAGACAAGTGTAGAAAATGAGAGTTAAAGTGCTAAGATAAGTAGAAATAGCCACACTTATTTATTCATAAAATCAATTTACATACTCAAGGTTCAGTCATTTTCTAAGTTAGTATGAAATAACTTCATACAGAATATGTTCCACAATTTGACATCATGTAATTTTTCCAGCCGTCCCATCTGCTCCTACCTCGTCAACCAGTATGGGGAGGACGACTCCCTCTACCCCAGTGATCCCAAGACCCGCGCCCAGGTAGATCGCCTCCTCTACTTCGATATGGGCACACTCTACCACCGCTTTGGCGAATATGTGGTGAGTGACAGGTAATTTATGTCTCTGCTAGGATAGGTTGGAGCCTTTTCAATGTAGAACTTAGAGCAGCAGTATTGTACTGAGACTTGACTTTTGCTTGATATTGTAAGAGATAAGTTTGGCAGCTAATTAGATATCCTGGGAGTCACTTGTTCCTTCCTGAGATACAGTACATCCATTGAATGAGTACCTGACTTTATACTTGGGAAAGTGAAGTCTAGTGCAGTACCAATCACATTTGCTTCTTTGTCTTTAATGTCATTTTAGACTGTTACTTGATTTTGTAACCATCTGCAAATTTTGTTGAAGCTTTTGGGATTACTGTATAGTAAACAATTTTGACGAGAGTTCCATTCAGTTAATAGATTCTTCTATTGAATACAAGTTGTCAGTTTAAAACTCAAACTAAAAAGTTCCTTTACTTTATGGAGTAAGAACTTGTGATAAGTACAGTTTAAGGAGAGGAATGCTGCTCGTATAAGATGATGTGGATGGTGTAGTACTGTAGGCTAAAGCAACATTAACTTCCTTGAGAACCTATGGTTAATACAAATATTAATCATTTATATGAAGATATTACACTCAGGGCTAGTATTTAAATATGTACAGTATTAATCTTTGATGAGCTGCTAAAAACTTGTATATCTCCCCCAGTACCCAGTGGTGTTTAGAGGACAAGAGGAGCCAAATCCCCAGAAGTTGGAGTCCCTGCAGGAAGCTCTTGGCTGGCTGAATGATTTCTTGGATGGCCACGAGTGGGCAGTCGGTGACACCACTACCATCGCTGACCACGTCCTGGTAGCCTCAGTGTCCACCTTGGAGGCAGCAGGGATTGACATCACCGGACACGCCAACATCGTCGAGTGGCTGGAGCGATGCAAGTCAACCATGCCAGGGTATGAGGAGGTTAATGAGCCTGGTGCAGTCAGCTTTGGTGAGATGGTTAAGGCCAAGTTCAGCACTGACTAAAATGATCTATCTAGAGCAGTTGATGGTATTGAGAACAAGTGATGGTTTAGAATAATTATTGACAAATGTTTAATTCTACTCTTTCAAGCAACATTTATTATTAAGTTAATTACAGTACAGTAGAAGTCCAAAAATCCGGACTGCTTGGGGATTGGGTCGGTCTGGATTTTCGGATTTTCCGGATTCTCAGGCAGTACTTTTAAAATTCAAATTTAAGGAGGAATAAATAAGATATGAACAGGTACATTTTGATAGTTTATTCATTAGCAAATATAGCATGCTTCATTTATCAAAACAAGCAGTTTTAAAGATAAAGCTGTGAATTCTATAATTTTATTCTTTGCCTTTTTATATCATAAATTGTAGACTTTCCAATGTCGTATGTTTCCATTAGAACAGTATTGCTCACACCACGTTCTAATTTCTTAATTATTTCAAGTTTGTCACTAAATTTTAACGTGTTCTTCTTTCTCTTCACACAATGAAGTTTATCTACTTTAGGAGCCATTATTATGGGCTTGTACAGTACTCTGTAAATGGAAAGAGTAGGATTCAGAATTACATACGTTGTCACAGTTTGATTGCTCGTTTTAAAGTGGCGACCGCGTGGTCGCTTGTTGTCGCTGTGCAGCTGTGGCGCTCATGCATGCACACATACACACAAAAGCCCGCTCAATTATATAAAAAAAAAAAAAAATCGAAAAGTCCGGATTTTTGGACTTTTACTAGTGCAATATGTTAAATCACTTATGCTTTCTTAGGATTAAAAATGATGACCTCTGGTTATTTGGGTTAAAGAAACTACATTCTGCCTTGGTTCAAGAGACAAGGGGCTATACTTCCCTTAAATGTGGTCACTTAATTTTAGGGATACTTAACTTAATTCTTAGCCTAAGGTCACTGCCACCAGTCCACATGGACAGTATGTGTAGTGTTTTGTTTTTGTGTTTTTAGGTAACTGGCAGGGCAAGCCAGGCACTGTGAGTTAGTGTTTTTAATTAATCAAATCGAGAGCTATTAAATATTAAGTTTAGTTTAGGAACACTTTCAAAGAATACAAAAAACAAGAACCTTTCCCTTGAGTTAACTCGGTACTTGTTAACAATACTTTAACACTGGCAAAAATAAAAGGACCACTGGGTCTTACTAACACTTTATAGCACTCTCAATACCCTACACAAGACATGGTTATTCTTGTATTACTCGTAGTACCTCAGCACCATGGGTACAGATTATACTTTAGAATCTAACACCAACGATAAACCTCTCAATTAACGTGGTAGTGTAGCAGGGTAAGACAGGTTAGGCACGTGAGTTATAACTTGTATTTTCAGGGATGGCTGTAGCAAATTCTGTTTGTTCCTTTTTATTTTTTTATATTTACTTGTATTTATATTCTCCAGTCTCCCCCAATAGCCACACCTTCGCTACCTTTTTATTACCTTAAAATTAACTATCCTAATACATAAGTAACTACCCCAGCTGTGTTGAATAAGTTGAGCCGCAGATCTATGCAGCATTCAGTGACTATTTTTTTTTTTTTTTTAAACGTGGCCTCCAGCCTCCCCCAATAGCCACACCTTCGCCACCATTTATTTACCTTAATATTAAATATCCTAATACATAAGAAACTATCCTATCTGTGTTAAATTAGTTGAGCCGCAGATCCATGCGGCATTCAGTGACTGTAGCCTCATAGTCGATATCTGCAGCAGTTGTCGGAGTAGGGGCAGAAGCTCTCGTTCCCCTGAGGCAGAGCAAAGCCGACCGAAGGAGAGAGAAGGACAGTCGACATCTCATCCAGGCTGTGACATAACTTCTGGGCTGCTGCTTCTGTTCGGAGATCAGCTCCGCGAGTCTGGCGTAGAAACATCTTGCACTTGGGCCCATCCCACCAGAGGTTGTGAACACTAGAGGAGTGAAGCTGCCTTGATCAACATTTTGAATTCTCTCCCCATATGCCCTTCTCTTGTCGTTCTCGTTCCTCCTATGCGCAGCATCGAGAGCTAGGTTACGGTGACAAACGGCCATGGGATCAAAAATCCTGATGTCGAAGAAAGCTCGCTGTCCCCGCGTCCAGAATCCTCGAGCACTGACGTCCACACGGGCTTCGTTAGATGTGTTTGAAGTCCTGTGTTGGAAGATCTCGCCATCCAGTGGAAGGAGGGTCGGTTCTACCATGACGTCCCGGCAGATTTCCTTCAACATATTTGCTGTGAGATCCCTTACCTCGTCATGCCTCATGCATATGAAGCCCCCCTTCTTGCAAACCATGGCGTGATCACCATCATAGGAATAGCCACACACGCATTGGGAGGGCAAACCATCTACTGGCAAACCGTACCTTAGAGCAATGGCATCTGTAAATTCTTGTTTGTTAAGGCTGAAACCATTTGCCCTTATCGGTAACGTAGTTAACCAGTTCGAGGCGCCCACCTCCTGCGCTATAGCTACTTTTTTTGTCAAATTTTCTGGAACCAGCAGCAATAGTTGCTGCAACATGTCATTTTGGCAGTGCTGCCGATCTGTTGTAATGGACCTACGGATCTTATTAACTTCGCTGGTGTCCACTTCCCCTGTTGCATTCTGGGCTATTATGTGGTCAGTGAGGGCTGCCGTGAGCTTAAGTGAATTTTGATGTTCAGAGTCAGCAATCTCCTCTGGATTAGTTAGTCCCATCCCTCCCAGTCTTGGTGGAAGTGCAAGAAGTGTTCTTTCTTCTAGGGTTAAGTCGTGGTGTTTCACTAGTTTGGGAATGAACTTGACACTGATTGCTTCTTCCAAAGGGTGGAGGAGGGGTCGGATCTCAGGGATGGTACGCATCAGGTAGTTCCAACGATGCTTGACTCCATGTGTGAATGCTGCAAAGGCCGCATGTGGCTCTGTGTTAGCAATCTCCGATAGAGCATGGATTTCGCTAACCCACTCATTCACCTTTCCCCCTACGTACTGGGTCTTGAAGTCTGTAGTGCCAATTACTGCGCCTAGATGTCTTTGGCCGTCCTTAGTTATTTTGACCTCACTTTCGCCGAAAACCTCCACAGCCCGATCATAATGATCTGGCTTCACGATGAGGAAGGATTTGCTGGCGTTAGGGTGGTACCCTATTTGTGGACCTCGCGATGTTACCAGGTCCCACCACTTTTTGATGTCCTCCACTTTTCCTGCTCCTGTGAGGTCATCAGCATATGCCACTTGTTTGACCCCAGTTGTTTCATACTTTATTTCTTGTTGGAGCACTGATAGGCCTATTGCATACATTGCCATTGCAACGGGGTCCCCCTGTGTTGTTCCCTCGGTCGACTGTAGGATGGTATCACCTCGTAGAGCCTTGTTGTTTACTATGTAGAGGTCTGAAGGATTCCTATACGAATTTTCAACATACATCGCAAAGCTAGGACACTTGATCTTGATGTTGTGCAGTGCAGCCTTGCGGTTAAGTATGTTGAATGCGTTTGAAGCATCCACCAGGAGAACGGCCTCACAATCACGCTGCTCAAATATCAATCTCATGGCGTGAATGGCCGCCTCCCCACCAGCCTGGTGGCCAGCACACACTTGTAGGTTCCCTGCTGCTGCCCTGACATCGTCCTTTACCACCTCCATTATGCACTTTCCGATGATCCGCCTCAGCACTTCCCCCACCCCTATAGGTCTACATCCTGGATTCTTTTCCAGAGGAATAAGGCGGCAGGCCGTCAGAGCCTGGAGGTGATGGCAGCAAGAGGATGCAAGCTTTCTTGCAAGGGTGGCAATGGCAGTGCAGAGTTCGCTTGCTACAGGGCCAAACTTGTTAGTGCTGAGGATGACTCTCCAACCGTTTGCATCCAGACCTGAAGGGCCGGCTCCTCCTCGAGTCTTCAGTGCCTTTTTCCACACCATCTCTCCTGTTATTTTCTCGAACAGGACAACATTTGGTGGGATATAGGCACCCTGGAGCCTGATGCCTTCATCTTCACTTGCAGGGGGATGTTTCTCTCTCAGTAGTTGTAAAGTCGCTCTGTTTATTGGCATCACCCCACCGGAAGATTCCTGAGTGAGAGATCTTACCGCGAGAGACACTTTTCCCACACGCATTTTGTTTCCAAATTTTCTTGCCACGTCATCGGTGTTTTGCTTTCCGTCACCCGTAGATTTTAGTCTCTCCTGCAGTGTTCTTGCTTCACATAGGAGATCATCTAGGGCCCCAGTCCGCCACATTGTCGATCTTCTCTTCATTGCTGCCACATTTTCTTTGTGCTTAGCCTTTGTGTGTGTCCTCTGACAAAATAGATGTGGTATTATTGCCAGTATTTGAAGAGCTAGGGGGGCGAGGAAGCGGTCCTGAGTGTAATCAGTCATGAAGAAAGTCATCTCCCGAATCATTTCTTTGGTGGCCGCACACTTGGGTGGTTCAAATAAGTTAGCGGGCGACCACTTGACAATTTCTGAGTAGGTTTCTTTGACCCATACGCCTGCATTTTCCATCGACATGCCTTTCCACTGAGGCGGCAGTCTCTCATTCTCCTCGTGGACACCTGCTACTGAGGGAGTAGCATTTATTAGTACTACATTTTCGGGTTGAGTAGACTCACTGCTATCATTTCGGATATCATCGGGTGGTTGGGTCCCGGCGATATCCACTGTGGCCGCCTGTGTCGGCTCCCTGCCACGTGGGTTCCGACACTGGTCTAGCTTCCTGCAATCCACACATGATCGATTGTTTCTCGCACAAAGACAATTTGTGCAGTTTTGGTTCGGGCTAGCACAGACGCAGCAAGGACTGTTGCCAGGCATAGTGACCAGCACCTTGGGCGACAGATATTTCCGCCTCCAACCTCTGCTATTGGGCCCATACGGACGAAGGAACTAGATCTTATGCGTATGAGGCACAGGGGTGACAGCCTGGCCTTCGGTGTCCGGGTAGTAAGGGCATGCGCGCGCGTGTGGTTGTGTCGGGCACCCCCCATGTGGGCGATAATCCACACATGAGAATAATCCACTGGGAGCAAGAATTGTCACACCTAACACTTGATTATGTCACTTTGGTAGAGATAGCCACCATTTCTATGGTCTCGCTGATGTAACATTAGTTATATATACTCACTGGGTCAGCCGACACTACATGGAGTGGCCGTTACTTGAGGCACTTGGCCCCATAGGGGCGAGAGTCGCGATGCCACCCTTGCTAGGGTAGGCCTATCGACACACTGGCACTGACACTTGGCAACTC